ACAGGGAACGAATTAACAAATAAAACAACTATCCCCCCCCCCCCCCAACATTTTTCTTTCTCCTGTGATATGAATAAGAATTGCCTGCCAATATATTATATATACTCTAACCCATTGAATCTAACTTAAGCTTGCTTTTGAGTTTGGATTGGCTTGTATAGCCTTTGATCACAAAAGAACAAGCGTAAGGCAGCAGTCGTTTAACTTCGGAGTTGTATCATAAATGCATGTTACCTTCCTCGGCTAGTGGTTACCATTCGTTCCGTCGTCTACTAAACCACACAGTCCTCTATATATTTATAAAGAGTATGGTTATTTTTTATTTGGGGAATTTATGAGGCAATAATTTAGACTTGGCAACATTGAATGACAGTGTTGGAATATAGGACGAGGGTTGTTACTTTAAAACTCAACTAAAGAACCAATAGCTCCATATGGGTCATAGCTGTCTGATATACCTGATACAACAGCTTCATATGGGTCATAGCTGATATAACTGATCCAACAGCTTTATATCTATCATAACTGCCTGATATACCTCTTCCAGTAGCTTTATATATATCATAGCTGCTTGATATACCTCATCTGAATGAGTATCCAAACACACTGACCACGTGGCTACCGGTGAAAACATCCCATAAAAACTGATTTGTTTCTAAGTAATTTATTGAAATAATGTACTTTTGAAAAGTATGGCTGCTTTTCTGTCAATAACATACGACTAAGCATCCTGAAACAGCCAGTAATGCTTTTCTGTCAATAACATACAAGTAAACAGCCTGAAACAGCCAGTAATGCTTCTCTGTCAATAACATACAAGTAAACAGCCTGAAACAGCCAGTAATGCTTTTCTGTCAATAACATACAACTAAACAGCCTGAAACAGCCAGTAATGCTTTTCTGTCAATAACATACAACTAAACAGCCTGAAACAGCGTATATATATATTCTACATTATCTGACAACTACGTATATCTATTGACCCAGGATCACGGCTATACTTTTTGAAGATGTAAAGCCACAGTTTAAGTGTAAGGCATCAACTACCTCTTTGTCGGTGTCTGCATATACACACATACGGGGATACACTTTCAACGTTAGGGGGACCGCTGAGCTGTCTATAGATTTTGTCACAACGACTGCCTATTTATACGTGTCTGCTCGCTCTGACACTATTCGCACACCAATTGTGTCACTAGGCTGACACGTCATAAAATGCGACTTCCTGTTTTTCCGCTTGATGATTCATCTCCCTTGTCCACAAAAAAAACTATATGCATCTGAAATATGCTTTCACTTGACAAATCTCTTATTTTGTACAAGAATGAACAAGATATCAATTTCATTCAAACATTTTGTTGATTCCCACTTTTTTTTTATACATAAAAATCAAATATTGACTTACATATTTCTTATTAATGTTGTTTTTTCGTACGCTTTTTTTTTTTAAATTAATAAAACCAATTTTTTTTTTTAAATTTAAGGAAACCGATTTTTTGCTTCGTTAATAGAGTAATGGAAGATATAATTATTTTACCATTCCTGGAGGAAAAATACGAAATATTAATTAACTTAATTATTAAGCCAGCGTGACAACAAGCGTCGTCTGTGATTAGCCTACTTGGTTTAACAACGCACTATTAGGTAAAGAGCATGTATTTCCCTGTCTACCGTCGCCTACATGGAATGTCTTCATACGCGATGAAATAAAATGTGATTAGAGTTAAAGATAAATAGCATATACATATCTTAATTAAACAAAGGAATTGGATTTTACTGATGTGGTTTATAAACAGATATTAACAAAAGTAACAAACATGTATGCGGCCTTTTGAACACAGGTGCTTTGATCATAGGGGCTATAGCATGGGTGATTTGTCCACAGCGGACCTTTGACCACATGTGCTTTAAACATAGGTGGTTTAACCATAAAGGGTTATGACCATAGATGCTTTGTCTATCGGGGCTTTGACCACAGAGGGTCTTTGACCACAAGTGCTTTGACTACAGGTGCTTTGTCTATAGAGCGTCTTTAACCACAGGTAGTTTGTCCACAGCGGGGGTGGATCAAAGATCATATTCCCCACTTGAGCAGGAACCATTAAATCTCCTATGTATGCGATTAAATAGACGTTCTTTACAACACTTTAGCTATGCGTCGGGGGACTGAAATTTCTAAAGTTAAATTTTCTTAATAAGAGAGAGCACCCCTGCAACATTTTTTTATACCGACGCCCCTGGGCTAGATAACTCAAATTTCTAAGGTTCACAATGGCAAATGAGAAAGTACACCTCATGCAATATTTTCTGAGTTACATAAATCACACTTTTAAAGTTCTATGCAGCTAATTAGATAGTGCACAACTGCAAGTTTTTTTTTCCGACGCCCCTGAGTTAGATAACTAAAGTTTCTAAAGTTCAGTGCTGCTAATTAGAGAGTGCACCCCCCGTACATTTTCCTATAACAACGCCTCTGTCTTAGATAAATCATACGTCAGCTTGTCTTATCTTAATTTACGAGCATCCGGCAGCGCTGCACTTCATTAACATATTATTTTAATTAGATGATAATGTATGCAGTACAAGCAACATATTTGTCCGGAGAACTTAAAAATTTAAAAGAAAGTCACCCTAAAAGAACCCTCGAATCTTCATCGAAAGAAGAAAAAATGTAGCCTATGAACTCACTAAAACTTTTTGTTTTAGAAACAGCACCAGTAAGCGAAAACGATCAATGTGTATTTTATCTTTTTGAAAAGCTAATACATACTCTTAAGTTTAAATAAACTGTAGTAAAAAGTGCACACGGTATGAAATTGTGTAGGTGTGTTTCGATTCAAGTTACGCGCTTTAAATAGCAGAAATACAATGTAAATATCACATTGCTTATAACTCAATTTCGATTTTGTCTGACATTGAACGAATAGCTCTGTATGCAATTTTTCTTTCAGATGTTTTTGTGCTTATCGCTTAAAGACAAAAGATCAAAACACTTAAAAATGCAACGCATAGAGTATACATGCATATGTATTCATAATGACATGCATTTGCACATATACATCATACTTATACGCCCATATACTTTGCCTGCATATGTACATATACATCACATGTATATACCCATATTAAACACACTTATACGACCATATACTTCGCCAGCTTATGTACATATACACCACATTTAAATACCCATATAGACCACACTCATGTGTCAATATACATCACATTATGTGTACATATACATCACAAGTATATACCTATATTCACCATACCTATACACCACACTCATATGTCCATATACTTCACATGCATATGTACATGTACATCACAAGTTTATACCCATATTCACCACACTTATATGTCAATATACATCACACTTATATGTCCATATACTTCACATACATATGTCCATAAATATCACAAGAATATACCCATATACACCACACTCATATGTGCATATACAACCCATTTATATGGCCATATAAATCCAATGCATATCTCTATATACATCACATACATGTCCATATGCATCACATGAATAAGCAAAGGTACATCTCATACACTCCTGCATATTAATCCTTTCTAATCGTTAAGCTGGGTTTTAAAATATCAATTAGTTGAATATTCTCTAAACTGTTATGATGAACCAGATTGTAAAAAAACATAACATTGCTTTGATCATTCTCGCGTTTATGTTCGACCAAGTGAAATATTACACCAGCCATTTGCTGAATTTTAATAATTGATCTTACATAAGATATCGTACACATATCTGACTATAGTTGAAAGGTTTTTAAATATCTGATAAAACAGTCACGTGTTTAGCTGCCTCTAAGTGTTTGGGTTGGTAGTTCGATGATGTTATTATATTGGAAAGTTCACTTCTCTACCGTGTCTGGTATTTTAAAAAAAGTAATTAATAATTAAGTTGACCTTTAGATGCGTTATTTCATCAATATTTAAATTCTGGATATCGTATTGTCACTACAGCCTTGGATGATCCAATTACCCATCACCCTTCTTCACAAACAAACACACACGCTCACACACACTGACACACACACACACACAATCACACATTCACACACACTCACACGCACACAAACACACACACTCACACACACACACACACAAGCACGCACGCACACGCACGCTCACACACTCACACACTCACTCTCTCTCACACACTGTCCACATTCGTTACCCACAGTTGAATCTTTCGTTGGTTAGTGTTGAATTATTTTTTCTTTACTGGAGATTTTAAAACGAATACACGCTGGAGTAAGGTCCCCTAAACTTTCTCATATTTTCAGATAACAGTAAAGGTTCTGACACCATTTCCAATAATATCAGGAACAAAAACCGCTCCTTTTAAAAAAATCACAGCTTAGTCGAAAACGTTTTTGGATATGTTTAATGAGAGCAGAAAATAAATTATCAAATGCCAAAGGTTTTTGATACACCGGAAATAGAGTGAAGTGTCAATTCCGGTTACCGGTAATCGAACACAAAAGAAACTGACGACTTGGATCTTATACTGATATATAAGATTACGTCCAACTAAATGAAACTGTACTCAATTTACACACTCTCTACCAGATAGCAAAACTGCGTCTTCCGGACGTTTTGTTTCTTTGCATAATTTAAAATATGTTTCTTGAACTCCCATATATTAGCAAGGAAAAAAAAACAAATTTCCCTCTGAATGCGTTAAGTCTATTCTTGAGAAAAACTAACGTTAACGATGTCAAGAAAAATTCATAAAATAACTATTTTAAAAACAAGGAGATTATAAGAGGGTGGGGGGAGGGGCAATTAATCTTCGTTATTACTTTAGCGAATCAACTTTCTGAAGCCGTCACATTTTTATACTAGCTACTTAAACCGTGTGGTCGCTCCACATTTCCTTATAAGGTCATGTGGCAAAACGGTGGAGGAAATGCTACCTCTTCTGCTGAGAAGGAGGGGGGGTTATAAATTATTTTTTTTACCTGAAGGTGACCTTGACGCGAAGATGACGTACGAGCCAGGAGACAGTATATAAAGTTGTCGCCCCTTTGGTGACGGGTTTTTCTCTCTTGTCATTTTGGGCGCTTTGTCTCCTCTTAGTGTCCAGTTTGCGAGATTAGAGGGTAAGTGTTTAAATTAAATTAGTCTAAATAAGCTGTCTAAATGAACTTTTCTTTTTTGGTCTCAACTTCTTGCTCGTACATACACTTATATATATACAACAACTACTGATCTACATTTAAAAAGCGGCTTTCTTAAACTTTTAAAGTTTTTTTTTTATTGTTCTGAGAAACTTAGTCCTCTCTTCCTGATACAGTTTTAGTTTAATTTAATGAGCTTAATTTAAGCTTAAACATTAATCTTACTTACAAGACTTCCTGATTTAATTCAGTGTTTGCACTGCTTGTGATGATTTAAGGCCATTTTTGTAGATTTTCGTGTGTATTAACACGTAATAATTTTGAATATACTAAATACTATAGAGGGACTGTGTGGTAGAATGGTAGAGCATTTGACTGCTAGCCCGAAGGCCTTGAGTTAGGATCTTGGTTCGGTCTTGTGATTGTAGGATGACCCTGATTTCACCCAGCTATAAAAGGGACCTAATTGACGTCGAGCAAACGCGGCTGGCATAGTGTTGACCACTTATTCATTCGGCGAGTCAAACGAAGGTTCCGTTCAGATAATTTTGCAAAATGTGGGGAGGGGGGCGGTGAATGTACTCTATGTGGACTTCCCCCACCCTCGCCTCCATTTAAGAGATGCCTGAAAAAAAAAGCAGCTTACGAAATTGAAATTCCACAACGAACAAAATTCGAAAAGTACAAATTGTCATACGTCTTACAAGTTTAAAATAAACTTCAGCCGTTCGTCTATTTCCGGTCGCCTCGCGGCCATAACCTCCTTTGCGCACGTCACACTTTCAAGAGCCACGTGACGTGTTTACCTGAAGTATTTTACTGAAGTTCAGAAAGGTAACACTGACATTGTAGCCAGAGCGTGGCTGGCCTTTTCAAACTTTGAGACGAATCTGAAATAAAAAATAAACGGCGAAATTTTGAAAAACAATACTAAGCCCGCATTAACTTTCTTAAGCTGATTTAGGGTCACCTACGATGTCTTTGGTAAAGTTTAAAACACCAGCCTAATCTTTAATCCATAATAAATAATCCATTATTCCAGGAAGTACTTAAACAACCATTACTCCCAGACTCCCTTTAGTTACCGGACCTGTTCTTAACTAATCAATTATCCACCTTGTTTTCTGACACAAACGCAAATTGTGATAGGATGGTATTTGAGTGTGTATAGAGCAGGGAGAGAAAGAGAGAGAGGGAAGGAGAGAGGGGGGAGGGAGGGAGATCAATAACATCGTTATGGTCTGATCTATCGTTTCTATACTATCCTTTTAAAAAAAGGTTATATTTTGTTGTATTTGTTTTTCTTTTACTAAAACATAGACTATCTGTATATCCAGGTACTGTTTCCTTATCAAGAGACTAATTTATTTGAAACACATAGGGTTAGCAGCTACACCTCTTCACCGGACTCATGTTTTGGGTAGTTCTCTTCAGTTTAGCCCCTGCTTCTCCTTCCACTGCCCTTCTTCAGGTCGGCCTACTTTTCTTCTTCTGGTTGTTCCAGTCCATCGCTTGCCTCGTGTCCTATTCTCAGGGACTACCACGTATGGACTTAAGCAATCCTGGAGAATTGTCTATCTTTCTTATCTAAAGGATTTGTCGTAAGTATCTGTGTGCAAGCGAATCTAGCCTGTTTGTATTTGTTTTGGTAACCCCTAGGTCTCTGAACATACAGCAATACTGCCTTAACATTTGAATTGAAGATTCATACTCTGGAGTGATAGGGCTGTGCACTTCTATATCGGGCGTACTAATCGAGTTGAAGGTGCATCTGGCCTTGTTGGTACGGCACCTTATGTCCTCGTCTTTTCCCCCATCCTTGTTGATCCCACGTCCCAGATACTTGAATTTTCTTTGTTACTTGTACGAGTCGTATATCTTATCCTTTTAGCTGTATAAGCAGGTCCTGGTTGGTATTGATTCTGATGATATAACAAAATATGTTGTATTTTTTTTTAATTTTGAGTGTTTTTTTTAATTTTATAAAGATCATTTTGTTGAGCTATTTTTAGAACGTTACGTCATCTTAGAATAAAAAATGTTTTGCTCACGTGACTTTAATTTTGTAGGATAAGATCACTTCCGCCTTCTTCCGGAACCTTGTACAAGTATATATTTATGTCTCTATGTTTGTCACTTGGTCCCCATCAAGTCCTGAGACCACAAAATGCCAGGTAAAAACGTCCGTCCGCAGCAAAAATAAATGTAACCTAAGTAACGACTGCTTCCGGTTGTCCGGTTAGGATTTCCCGGTGTGTACAGTGCCCTAGCAAATGTAAGCCGGCAAAAATTGACCGGAGACACGCAACATCTAATGCTGTAGCAAGTTATTAGTGCTTATCGTACCCTGGGTCTTCCTATGGAGAAAAAAATCAAATAATGACGAAAGCTAAACGAGTAGCGTCCCTTTTGTTTACAAAAAAACTGAAGGGTTTTATTTGGTGCTGAATCCACAGAGGGGAAGCTAGTAACGAAGGTATTCACACACATACATGTGCTTTAGGGTACTTTCGAACCAGGAAGTGTTTGCTTGAAAACGAAGAAGCTTTTGAAGATTAAAGTACTTTCTAAAAACGACGCGTAAGAAGATGTAAAGAAAGATATTCAGCTACTTTAGTCCGAGCGAAGTACTTTACGTACTGCAATGTACCGTCTGGTAAACAAATAATTCCCTCTAAGATTTAATGCCCGAACAGAAGAGTATAACATAAAATACACACTCAGACCAGACTTCACATGAGGCAGAGGAAGTAGAGTTTGTCTTTATCTCTGACCTCGGCGTATTAAAGGATAATTTGGTTAACAATATGCCGTCACTTTGGCCTTCTCCAACTAGAGTTAGGTACCCGTAAGGGCTGGTTAGACTCCGGCAAGTCTTGTCTAATCGAGCCTGTGAACCGAACTCGAAACATTGAGGTAAATAACCGTGCGCTCTACTGCACGACCTCGCTAGGTAGAAAAGAATATTTGGTTGAATATGGAAACAGAGCAAAGTACTACGTCTTTCTGAATGGCATAATACTTTCTGTATATCTAAGTATTTTCCAAATGTCTAAACACATCTTGCTAACAAAGTACTTCCTAAGTGGCTAAATAATTTCTGTACACCAAAGTACTTCCTAAATGGCTAAATAATTTCTGTATACCAAAGTACTTCCTAAATTGCTAAATAACTTCTGTATATCACAGTACTTTCTAAGTAGCGAAATACTTCATGTATACCAAAATACTTCTTTAATTCCTTAAAAGTAAAACAATTTCCTGATACTAAAGTTCTTCCTAAATGGTATAATACTTCCAGTGTACCAAAATACTTTATATATATACAATTTTTCCTGATATCAAATTACTTCCTAAATGACAAAATACTTCCTATATACCAAGCCGTTTCCTAAATTTTAAAATATTTCTTGATATCAAAGTAAAGTTTGCTTTCCCTTTTAAACTTGACGTTCTATGTAGCAAGTGAAGTAGAGTTCACCTGTTTCTGTAATACTTCCTGTGTACCAAAATACTTCCTACTACCAAGCCACTTCCAACAAGGTAAAGTATTTCGTGTATACCAAATTACTTCCAATATTACCAAATACACTTTATACCTAAGTACTTCAAGCAAATATCAGCCACATATGTGGAAATGGGACAGTAGATGAAACAAAAGTACTTTTGAAAAAAAAGAACTCAAGTCAACTGACGTTTGAACTATTTCTTTATTTAAAAAACAAATGTAAGGTAACGACTTACCCTAAATTCATCTCAACTCGTTGTAGAAAGTCTATAGGTTTAGATGCTTATATTAATGTTAAATGAAGCCAATTTCGTAGCGAACCGGGTTTTCCCACGCCTTTCATGAGCTCTTCAACCAAAATCGGGAAAATCCGTACCGCTGACTTTTCTAATCCGCTGTTTGAAAATTACTCCACGAGATAGACAATAATGAGAGAAGACAAACTCATTATTTTTACATTATCCTAAACAATCCCGTTTCGCGATCTGCCTCCATTCGCTTTCGCAATTTTTTCTCTCTCGTCTTCTCCTGGGGTCGTCGACAATTTGCTTCAATTACACTAACAACCAGCATCCACCATTAAAAGACCGAAAAGCTTTTAACCGCCATTTTACTTGTCGGCTGTGTCGTTGAGCAACGATGGCTGACGAGGACGGGACGGGAGGGAGAGGCTAATAAGGTATGAGTCCCACGGAGACGGGCTAAACGTCGGATTAACCCTCGTTAACTCCTGATCCGAGCGAGGTCTTCTCCTGGAAATACAGGAACGCCGCGTGGGTGCTAGTCCCTGACGAGAGGGTGGCGAGTTGGAAATAGAAACATACAAGGAATTAAGTCTTTAAATCTAACACTGGATGACATCTGTATGTGATGCGGGGGGGGGGGGGGGGGGGGGGGGAATGGATTAGAAGTTACAAACATTATGGCGAAAAGATAAAAAATTATTTTTTGTTTAGTGCGAAATGTATTAATTGTGAAGGAAAATTTATTTAATATGTGTCTTTTTTTAATAATTGATTTTTTTTCAACATACCGAAGTTATTTGCTGTTTACTTATACATATATAAATAAGTGATAATTTTTTTTAAAAATATACTATAAAGTAAGAAAAAATTAATGGTTTTTTATTGCAAAAAAAAATATTTTTTTTTAAAATTAAGTCTAGCCAACTCATTACTTAGAAAGTAATTACTGTTGTCTTCAAACTAAATTAATAAAATTCAGCTCATTTCGGATTACTTCCGCGTTTTTACATTTGACCGAAAATATTTTCTAGAAAAACATCGATAGCACTTTAGGACTTTGCTGTAGTAGGACGCCAGTTTATCTTAAAGCTTGCTACACATTTTGTTGCTGTTGTAGGCTCGGGTTAAATTCGTGTGTTGTCGTGGCTCGGGCTAATTCATGTGTTGTCGTGGTCGAGTGGTAGGGCATTGTGCTGACCACATTATCTCCTCACTGGTCGCGTAAACAG